GTTTACTATTTATATCTTCTAGAGATAAGATAGTTTGCTTTATTGGACAGAAAAATAGTATGTTAAGTTAAAGTCACTGTGACGTAACTACAACAGTTACAGCACTAAGCAAGGTATTGTTGAATATATTTTCTCAACATTTGTCATCAGAAGTAAAATATATATATATATAACCGTGGTTCATTTGTAGCACGCGGGTGTTACCCCCACCGTGTGATATGCCCTAATCTTTCCGTTCGGACAAATGTAATTTTCTAGTATTAATTACTTTTAACCCTAAAATTTATGGTTTGATCATTGCGTTAAACACAACAAAGATAGTCCATTGTGTAGTGTTATCTTAACAGCAATCATACGAAGTGTTGATCAAAGTGTATTCAAAATGTTGAGTTAAATCATTTTTATCTACTTAATGGCATTCTATATAAAAATTGACAAACAAAGTTTGGGTCAGAGTTTTAAGAATTACTAACTGTTTAATTGCTACAATTTTTTGGTGCATAGTACATGTACTTTTATAACTTGCGATTGACTGAAACTGGCACCACTGACTAAAGGCTTTTCTTATTATCCAATTACTTGTTGTAAATGTACAGATGAGTTTTTGTTTTGTAGATAAATTATTCATGCATCGAAAGCAGTGTGACTAAATTAACTGGAACTAATCCCCTATCTTAACTAGTTCTTACATCACGGTATGGGAATACGGGATCTTGATTACAGCATAACTAGTTATGAATGGATTATATTAAATGTAAATCAGTTCAATACTAGATTAGGATACGATGTTAATAATAATATATATATATAATTAGCTTTTCAATATCGATTTTATTAAATATTTCAGTGAAAATCACATAACAACAGAGGAATAATATGTGAAGCGACATCTAGCTGCAGATTTGTGGATAAATAAACAGTTACGTTTTTTCTCTTTTGATGTTTGTGTGTGTGTGTCTTTAAACCTTGACTATTACAATAAGTGTCACGTGACTGCAGTTGTTTTACAAAATGTTGCCCAGTCTTTATTATATGATATATGTTGCCCAGTCTTCGTTATTCGTTCTGTAAGCAGTACAATAATGAAATACGTACGTATGTTATCTTATTTGTAAGCCTTAGATTGGGAACTTACTTAATATACTAAACATTGATTATTAATATATATATACATATTCAAGTCACATTTTAACTTCCAAGGTTTTGACCTACTTTACTTTCGAACTTAATTACTGCTAAGAACATTTAGTAAATACTTTATCGAAATCCTCGACCGAACTTAATTATATTTCTTTATAATTTAAATATATTAATGCATAAAATTCTAATTAACTTTCATTTCGTGTTACTTTTAAAGCAGTATTTAGCCCTAGTCTTTGTTGAATGTAAGGATGTGGTAATATTGTTGAATGTAAGGATGTGGTAATATTGTTGAATGTAAGGATGTGGTAATATTGTTGAATGTAAGGATGTGGTAATACTGTTGAATGTAAGGATGTGGTAATACTGTTGAATGTAAGGATGTGGTAATACTGTTGAATGTAAGGATGTGGTAATACTGTTGAATGTAAGGATGTGGTAATACTGTTGAATGTAAGGATGTGGCAATATTGTTGAATGTAAGGATGTGGCAATACTGTTGAATGTAAGGATGTGGCACTACTGTTGAATGTAAGGATGTGGCAATAAAGTAGTATTGTAAACCATTTATGGTCTGTATAGTTGACTTCCCGCGCTTTTTTTTATTATTATCGCTCGAGGCGAGATCGGTTTCCTCCAAACAAAGGTGTCCGATAGAGACAACTTTCCTGCTCCGTCCAGGATATGTTATTCATCTTGCTATGTTTCAAGAGCTAACAGTATCGTGTATAATCATAAAATCTTAACAGATAGTCTGGCGGATAGACGGAGGGAAAGATAAACAGACATTAGGCTTAAGTTACTTTATAAAAATAACTTGTTTTCTCCAGATTTCGTTGAACCATAACGTGAGTAATGTGGCAGCTTCTGCTACATCAAAACCACAGGTAAAAAAATATATAGTTCGTTTGTGTTCTATTTTTTAATTATTTAGTAAAGACATTCTGGAGAAAGATTCTTTGGTAAAAAAAAAAAATATGCCAAGTGTTACACATTTATGATAAATTTGTGTTTCTCAAAGGAATTTCTGTGCGCGGTAATCGCCCCCACAATTTTTTTTTACCTTGGCAAAACCACTTAAATGTATTCATTTTAACCTAAATAATTGAGGTTTCGCGTATTGAGTAAGAATTCCAGGAAAAACGTACCCAACTCCGAAATATAATAAAACAAAGACTTTTTAGGAGAAATTATGGAGACTTTCGCGGAAGCTTGAAGAGATCTTTGAGTTGTGTGAAACTGCTTGGATTTGGGATGAGCCTGATTCTCGAGTCTGATCAGAATGATTTGTTTTTTTCCTATAGCGTTTAGTGGGATGCTTTCACAGGACGAAACAATCGGCTCGTACATTGTTTCACTTTGACACGTGTTAGATATTTCTTCTGGTTAGTGAGCGAAATGTAAATAAAATAATTTTACTTGTTTGTACAAATGTATCTTCTGAGACTGCATCAATAAAAGTAAAATGATAAATGTTTACTTAGTTGTAGCCCCCCCAGTGGCACAGCGGTATGTCTGCGAAGTTAGAATCCGGGCGTTCGATACCCGTGGTGGGCAGAGCACAGATAGCCCATTGTGTAGCTTTGTGCTTAATTACAAACAAACAAAAAACCCCTAGTGGCACAGCGGTATGTCTGCGGACTTACAACGCTAGAATCCGGGTTTCGATGTCCGTGGTGGGCAGAGCAGAGATAGCCCATTGTGTAGCTTTGTGCTTAGTTATAAACAAACGAAGAAACAAACTTAGTTGTAGATATATATATATGTGTAGTTGCGAACGTAGCCGGAAATGCCTAGCTTTGATAATAATGCTATAAATGGGACGAGCAGTAGCATACGAACTGTTTGTCATATGCAAAAGTACCCTTGCTACGCGCAGCATAAAACGTCACTTTCGTTTGGCTTCAGCATTACGCATTCTTCTACAGACCCTCTCTCTAAGTTAAAACCCTCATTCGCTGCAGCGATAAATTGAAAAGGCTGCCAAACTGAAACCGTTCTTTAATTGCTTATCGGTTTTTAACACGATATTTGGGGGTCCATCTGAGATCCTTAATCAGAATAGGTTTTACCACTTCCTCACAACACCTTATGACAACAGAAAGACAACTCTACTTCATATATATTTACAGAGACTCTTTTTTTTTTTCAGATGTAACTATTCATCTAAGAATAATGTGAAACCAGAAATTAATTGGGTTTCCAACTGAATATCAATAATCTTCCTTTCCTAGAACAACAATTCGTCCCTCACGCCATAAGGAACTTAATGTCTGCCTTAAAGAGAGTTTTGATGAAGAATATGTTTATATTATTTCACATTGCACACATCTCAAATAAGCTTTTAGTGTCAGTATTGTTTTCATATCTTGTAAGAGTTTATACGTACTGACCAAAATCTTGAAGTTACCTCTATATTATTCTTGACCAGTTGTGTTTTAATAACGTTATAATGAGTATTAATTGTTATATCTAACTTGTCTTGTCCATTATTCTTGACCAGTTATTATTAAATAATATCAGAATACGTATTAATTTTCATATCCAACTTGTCCATTATTCTTGACCAATTATTATTAAATAATATTAGAATACGTATTAACTGTTATCCCTGAATTACGCCGTCTTTGTTTTTCTTGACCAATTATTATTAAATAATATTAGAATACGTATTAACTGTTATCCCTGAATTACGCCGTCTTTGTTTTTCTTGACCAATTATTATTAAATAATATTAGAATACGTATTAACTGTTATCCCTGAATTACGCCGTCTTTGTGTTTCTTGATCAATTATTATTTAATACATTTTCTAGGTACTAAAAGTTATATCTAAATCACAACTGCGTTTCGTTAATTAATTCGTCAATTTCTTGTAAGCTCAAATTCAGAGGTAACATAATCGCTTTAATCCGGCTTTCTCGTGTTCTTTTGTTTGTTTTTATCTGCATACTTATTTTCGTTTTAAATTTACAAACAAAAGTTGATTTTCGTTTTAAATTTACAAACAAAAGTTGATTAAATTGCCTTATTTCTATTTCTTCTGCTACAGATGGTGATATTCTGCCAAGACCTCAGCACCTGGTTCTCGAATACCCATCTTAAAAACAGCTGCCTTTGCCTACTAATTACCCTCTCCGTTCAAACTTAACAAAAGTAACAAAATCAAAAGATATGAAAGACACCTATAAAAACAATGTACCAGCCGCTGCCTGTCATGAAAACGATTTGACACAAACCATGTTGGCGAGTCACGCAAGTCTGTATCTAAGCAACGATAAACAAGTAGATGTGGACCGGCCGAACGGTCAATATTGCTCCACTAACTCCAGTACTTCTACTGCTGTTTGTACAGGTCCTTCTGAAGTGTGGCCCAAATATCAGGGGGATTGTTTCGACAAAGCAGAAAGCCTGCAGTCAAAGAATATGATTATCAGAAATGACGAGGAAGTGTTGGAGAAACCCGAGAAGCCCTTTTTTGTTGATGTAAAGCACTTGCCTAAGGATGTACTGACTAAAGCGAGACAACTCTTCGGTAGGGAGATATGCCAAAATTATCTTCAAGAACATGGATTCAAACGTGTACAAAAGGAAAAAAATGGATCGTTGTGTTTTTGTGAAGAAAATAATAATAATATGTTTTTTAAGGATTGTGAGTCTGTGAGCTTTTTTTGTAAAAAGAAACAAGAGGATAACTTCGGCGGAGAAACAAACGGTTTTCCTGATCTTGAGTCAGCATCAAATTTGTCATCTCAAAATGACATATCTGAGAAAGAAATGTATAGATCTATTGATGAAACAGGCGATCTAAGAGCTACGAACAACGTACTTGACTGCCAGTCTCTTACAGAAACTCAAGCAAAGGAGGATCGAATGATCGTGGAGGATGTTCCTGACTGTATGGAAACTCAAGCAAAGGAGGGACTAATGATCGTGGAGGATGTTCCTGACTGTCAGACTCTTACAGAAACTCAAGCAAAGGAGGATCGAATGATCGTGGAGGATGTTTTTTGACTGCCAGTCTCTTACAGAAACTCAAGCAAGGGAGGATCGAATGATCGTGGAGGATGTTCCTGACTGTCAGTCTCTTACGGAAACTCAAGCAAAGGAGGATCGAATGATCGTGGAGGATGTTCCGGACTGTCAGACTCTTACAGAAACTCAAGCAAAGGAGAGACTTATGATCATGGAGGATGTTCCTGACTGTCAGACTCTTACAGAAACTCAAGCAAAGGAGGGACTAATGATCGTGGAAGATGTTCCTGACTGTCAGACTCTTACGGAAACTCAAGCAAAGGAGGGTTTAATGATCGTGGAGGATGTTCCTGACTGCCATTCTCTTACAGAAATTCGAGGAAAAGAGGATATAAGAATCAAGGCGGATGATTCTGATTGTCAATCCTTATCAGAAATTCGAGAAACTAAGGATTTAAAGGCTCTGATGAACGCACCAGACTGTCAGTCTCTTTTAGAAACTCGAGAGTTAAAAATGCTTGATGACGAAGTTACTTTAGATGCTGAACTAATAAAGACGTTTTACAGCAAATATTCCAAAAGCGAGTTACAATCAAAAACAGTAACTAGTGATCCAAAACTACACTTCGCTCATCGTAGTTCTCAATCGGAAGAACTGAAGTCATACTTGGATGTCTCGAAAAGCCCTGCTAATAAAGCAACTTTGAGGAATGAAGATGTCATCAGTATTTCTGAACACTCGAACGAAACTACACACAGATCGAATGATTTAAACACAGAGATAACCTTTACTGAAAACTCCGAAGCATCATGTACCAGTACAGCTATAAGCGATAGTAAAGAAATGTCTGCTTCCTGTGAAGCTCGTGTAGTTTCGAAAGAAGGGTGCTCTTATAGACATCACCAACACAATGCTTTGTTAGAGTTTTCAACCTCTGGAACAGATGCAGAAAAAAACAAAATCCATGTTGAAGCAACAACATGCGAAACTAGGCGTGTTGGCCAATCAACTAGTCCACTTTTTTACCAGGAACTATGCACAGTGAGAGAACATTTAGTAGGAAGCGTAGAACAGGATGAATCAAAACCTGCATTTCCTTTAATTTCTGTTCCAACAAGAGGGGATGTTTTTTATTGTCTAGATAAAGAAAACAGCGGTGTACAAAATCAGCCGGGTACAAGTGAAATTACTAACAATCAGTTACATTGTGGTACTTCTCCAAATAAAGTATACTTTACTGATGAACAATACCAAAGCGACGATTTTCCCATTGATGAAGGAAACCAAGATTTGTTGGATCTTTTTTCTGTTGATGAGAAACAAGGAGTTAGTATTGATAGTGAATCCGGAAGTATGTACCATCAAGAGAAGAAACTTCCGGACATTTCGGAAAGTAATTGTGAAAAAAAAACTACCAATAGCTTAGGCGCTTATATAAAAACTAGAAAACGCAGGGAAAAGCAGCACGATAGTGCATACACAAGAAAACAAAGTCAAGAGATGTTCTCCGAGATTTCAAATAAAAAGAGAAAGATTTCAGCGTTGTCGGTATATACCAATATTGAAAATGGCGTGATAACTGAAGTTACTTGTAAAAGATATAAAAAGAGAACCACAAAATTTCGAGAAAGAGATGACGCTTTTGAAACCATTCAGATGGAAGATTTCGAGACAGCAGGAAAAGAAGACAGCTACAGGAAAAATGGTCTGGTTGTTTCACCAGATTACAGCTGTGAGAATATAGCTTCTGATGTTGATCCTGATGTGCGAGATGTCGTTACAGAACTTGTCCACACCGTGTTTTTAAACTCGCTGGACCTCAAAGACGACTTGTCATTTGTTAATCCAAATGATGTTCGGGTTAAAGATCTTTTTCAAAAGTTCTGTGATGAATTTAACTTTGAACATGGTGATTTTCAGGACTTCTACTCTGATTTCAGCGAAACAGTTAAACCAAGGATCAGTGGTTGTGGTGAATATTCGGTTCCTCCAACGAAACGAAAAGGAAGACGCAAATGCAGTCAAACTGTCAATCTTTCAGAAGTTGAATGTTCCAAAGAACTGCCTCGTAGTGAAGAATCAAATACTAGAAGTAAGTTTTATCATTCCATAAGATTGAGAAAAAAATCCAGATGGTTAAGACAAGTTCCTACCGCTAAAAGGGTGGTCACAAGACTAACCCTACATGAAATGGGCTTGGAAAAAGTCGAAGATCTGGAAAACATTCGGGAACCAAAGAAAATCAAATACGACAACGGAACTATTGACCATTATCTAGAGTCACAAAAACAGTTTTTAAAGAGTAGTGGGTTAAGCAAAGAGAAACCCATTTCGTCCAAGAAAGACCAAACATTTGTAATTAAAAAAGTAAAAGTAAACCAAAGCAACTATAAACCTTGCAAAACTCCCGACGAATCCATTGACAGTGAGGAACAGAATGGACTTTATGGAAACTTAAGGGATCAGACTTATATCCAAAACAGTAATACCCCTAAGGACATCATACAGAAGCCATTTGATGATCAAAGGTTAACTAACCCTAATTCTCATAAACGTGATAGAGCTGCAATAGATGGACAGACCCAAGATCCTCTCAATTCGTTTCCACTAGAAGATTTTACAGAAGACCAAGCAAGTAATGAAGAAAGAAAAAGCAGCTACAGGTACGGATTTTCAGTCTCTTGGCAACAACGGTAACTAAAAAAAAAATATTAAAATTTCACTTAATTTTTCCAACTCTTTAAACCCATAATTGTTTTTTCGTTCTGTCAGAATTATTTTAATGATGCCCTAATAATTATCACCATACCTTACAATGTGTTTGTTCTGTTTATAAAAGGTGATAATAACATGGTTTGGATTAGTTTTCAGCGGAAGAAACATAAATATTATCGGACGCTGTCATCGTGTAATGGATAAATTGGGGTTTTCGGATTAGTTGTAAGGTTTATTCGAAACCTGTTAGTTGTGTTTAAATCATTTAGAACATATATATAAAAACTTAATACAGAAAAAAAAACACTCCTAACTTAGCTGTCGAACTGAGCGTCACATTATTTTGGAATGTGAACTTGATTTGAAAATGTTCTGCATTTGAGGTATAACTGAGGTTTGAGGTTTACCGCGGGTAATCGAACCCCAGATTTTAAGGTAATTCCTTAAACTTACCACTATCCTACCGGCGTACCAATTAAAACGAGGAATCCAATAATGATAAAGGAAATATAATAGAAGATAGGACATCGAACGTTTTAAAAGTTTCATTTCTGATGTGTACTGTTTGTTGACCGGGCGTGACCTGTGGTTAGCTTGTTGGGCTGTAGATCTGAGGATCCACGTTTCACGTAAAATCGCGCTCCTCATTTTTGATGCCATGAATGCGTTATGAGAGTGAAGGTTAAATCGCATTATTCAATTAGTTTGTCTGTCTGTTTGGATGCCTATTAAGTGTTGGTGATTAGAGTAGCCCAAGAATTGGCGGTAGGCAATGTTGACTGAACTGCGTTCGCTTTAGTCTATCAGTTCAAAATTAGGGTCGGCTAGCACAGATAACCTTGTGTAGTTTTGCGCGAATATCCGAATTAAACACGTTTCGTATACTTTACTGTATGCCAAATGTATCCGTCATTCTTAGAAATACTAGATATCAAAATCAATTCATTAGAGATACTGAAAGAACAAGTCTGTAATATGATGAACACTTTGACAACTTTTACCTTGTTGAATAAAATTCTTCTAAACGCAATATTATATTTCTCATCTTATTACTTAAACAAAACAGCCCCTCAGTGGCTTAGCGGTACGTCTGCGGACTTACAACGCTAAAAACCGGGTTTCGATACTCGTGATGGACACAGGACAAATAGTCTATTGTGTAGCTTTGTGCTTAACCACAACCAAACAAAATCTCAAACAGTAAAATTTGCTTGTTGCAGGGATTAATTATGGAGTGCCTAAAGTTGTTGTTTTTCATCTTTAACGTCGCTTACTGCTTCTCCACTCTCCTTTCGTAATCTGGCCAGATGGTTAGGGGGCGCTCGACTCGCAATCTGAGGATCGCGGGTTCAAATTCCCGTCCCACCAAACATGCTCGCCCTTTCAGCCGTGGGGGCGTTATTATGTTCCGGTCAATCCCACTATTCGTTGGTAAAAAGAGGTAGCCCATGAGATGGCGGTGGGTGGGGATAACTAGCTGCCTTCCCTCTAGTCTTACATTGCTAAATTAGGGACGGCTAGCGCAGATTGCCCTCGTGTAGCTTTGCGCGAAATTCAAAACAGACAAACAAACAAACAAACATTTCGTAATCTTTTGGATTTGTAGAAAATTAATCTGACTTTTAACCCTATAATTACCGATGAGGTCCACAAAAAGGTATAGCCCTCTAAAAGCGTCGTATTTTTATATTGCGCTCTACACGAAGACTTCACATACTTGAAGGACAATCACAGTAACCCTTTATTTAACCTCCAGTGTGTTACACATCTAAATGGAAGCCACAGACTTCATCGGATTTTTTGAACACATTTTTCTAAACTATATATATATATATATATATATATATATA